ATCACCTCCCTGCTCCTGCTGGCCACACTACTCCTGATACAAGCCAGGATGCTGTTGGCCTTCTTGGCCACCTGAGCACAGTGCTGGCTCATGTCCAGCCAGCTGTCGACCAGCATCCCCAGGTCCTTTTCCGCTGGGCAGCTTTCCAGCCACTCCTCCCCAAGCCTGCAGCGTTGCGTGGGGTGGTTGTGACTGAAGTGCAGGACCCGGCACTTGGCCTTGTTGAACCTCATACAGTTGGCCTCGCCCCGTCGATCCAGTCTGTCCAGATCCCTCTGGAGAGCCTTCCTACCCTCGAGCAGATCGACACTCCCACCCACCTTGGTATCATCTGCAAACTTACTGAGGGACCACTCAATCCCCTCATCCAGATCACTGATAAAGATGTTAAAGAAGACCGGACCCAAAACTGAGCCCTGGGGAACAACATATCCCTGTTCTTACAGTCAATTTGAACACTAAATAGGACAAGACATAAAATAGAAACAACAGGACCATGTGGTTGAAGAGTATGGCAAAAACCTGGCCATATAGGCCAGATTTCCTGCCAGCTGCAGCTTTGTCAGTGTCTCACCCTACTTACTTGTACCAGCATTGCACATGAATCATCATCTCAATAAAATTTTCCAGTACCACTGGAAGATCAAACAGTCTACACAAAACACATATTATACAATAAGTGTGCCATCAACTATTTTGAAAAAAGAACAATTAAATTTTATGGAAGTTCACCATGGAAAAAATCGCCAACCCTTTTTCTGAGTGCTTCAGTGAAACATTGGAATAAATTCTGACATGCACAGATTGCTAACTAGCGATAAAAATCACAACTGCCATTCCCCTCTTTGTCCTGGGTTACTTGTTTCTGACCCTCTCCCTTCTGTTGATAGACATGTGAGCGATCAGACATTTAATCATATTGGCAAACCGATCATGTTAAAATAAAGCCGAGGGAAAAAAGCAAAGCCCACTCAACTCCACAGTCAGAGTCTTTGCACGACCACTCAGGTATCCACATGACCAGGATGCAGGTGCTGGTAGAGCAATAACTTGACAAAAGCCTCTCCAGCAGAAGACGAGCACTGTCTGTGAAACTTCAATGCCTTTGTTATTCTCTAACAGTAGGTCATAACTTTAATTTTCAGTGTGATGGCTCTGTGGGGAAATACTGATAAAAATAACATGTGGTTCTATCTTCAGTAGTAATCTCTGAAGCATCTGAAAAGATTGTCAAATCCTATTAATACTTTATTTATCAGGTCTCTCAATTCGGAATGCACCCCTGCTCAAACACAAACTATGTATGACAACACAATTTAGCATTTTTGGCAGCAAAATCTTGTGCTTTGGACATAAGCACAAAGAAAACCTGAGAAATGGTGACATGTGCCCCAGGTAACAGAGATAGGAAGTTGGAAATTGGGCCAGACATTCCAAAGGACAGGAAGGAGATGACGCTCTGTAGCCACCTGGGAAGCACCTTTCTACAGACCTTCATGTTTGTTTACCTCGGATAAAGCTGAAGAAAAGTGATTGCAGTTTTTGTGCATTAGGTGATAAGCATTTCCTTTGAATTCTTTTCCAAGCTCTTCTACTATTTTTTCTATGTCATCTTCCATAAAGTCAGTACTGCCTAGAACCACAGCCTCTCTAGAAGAGAAACAGACAGAGTAGGTGATTAGCCTTCCATGATGCAGGTGGATTACTGTTCATACATTGCTCAAAAATCACCCCACTGTGGGTGGCGAGATCTTTCTGCCTTTCTAGAATAACATAGATTCTTTCTATTCCATTTTACAGCACCACGTTCATCTTTATCATGAGGGATTATTTCCTTGGCGATCACTTAAGTCCTTTGCAACTTAACTCTGACAAACACTGGATGCATTTTTCCCCTCATCTCCAAAGGATATTGTTTCTAAGAGACAGCTGAGAACAGGCAAGAGCTTGTAATGCAGGGAAGGGTCAAGGTAATCACACTGACAAAGTGGAAGAGAGACATGGGGAAACTTTGAAGAGCAACATGTTTCAGCTTTTTCTTGGAATAAAAATTTCACTACCTTGAAAAAGTTACCCCTTTGTATATACTGTATGAATAGCAAAAGCTAGCCCCAAGTCCACATAATTTGTACACATTTAAGTAATTTGACGGCACGCTAAAAATGTTCTTTGCTGTAGACACTTCACTGTCTCATCATCCCTGTCCATCTTTCATTTCTATGAAAAGAAAACACCGATTTCTCAGAAAGTCAGAAATCCTGTAGTATCATTCAACACATCTATCCTCAAAAATAAAGGTAACAAGTTGTTTTTAATATGGCTTCTCAAAAGCAAGAAAATCAGTATCTTTCTTACTTGAATTTAAATGTTTCTCCTAGTTCAGAAGCATTTCCTGGTGAAATTTCAAATATTCCAGAAAAAGGGTACGGATGACCACCATAGGCAAATTCTGAAAGAGAAAGCTCAGATTTAACAAGAACGGCATACAACAACATTAAAGAACAGCAGACCTCGCTGACTGGACGATCCCTTCACAAGGATCTAAAGCTAGAAACCAGACATCTTATTTACATAGGTAACAAACGCAAGGAGCTGGAAATGCACAGTTTTGTTAGTTACTTAGTCAACCCATGTAAAAACTGACAGGAGATCTCCTACATCAGTGTACAGATTTAACTTGAATAACTTTACAGTAAGTATATATTGTTTTCATTGTATAAGTGAGGATTTACAATGTAACTTGTAAATCCTCACTTATACCAATGTTCTTTATACCTGCTTGTCTTTAAAGGTTCACTTACCTATTTATAGATTAGGGATTCAAAGTACTGCATCCTCAAAGGTCTGACGGCACTTCTACTCAGTGCGTACTTCAGTTGTAAGCATGGCAGCAAATAGCGGCCTAATAGATTTTTTAATTTATTGATTTGCAACACTTCAACTGTCCCGAGTTCTTTACTATAACAGGAAAGTAAACCAGTGCAGGCACCTGAAGTCTGCACGTAGCATCTGCTGGTATAAACACTTCACAGTACATGAAAATAGCATGGTGTGCTTTAGCTTCCTTCTGTGTCTTTAAGATAACACAGCATGCCACACCCAGAGTGCAAGAAAAAGTTTTAAGCATGACTTCACGCTTCCTTTCCTCAAACCTCGAAACACATCATCCAAGTCTAGCATTCAGTTTTGTGCATAATCTTTTTTACAACAGGTTAATAAACAAAGTTTGGTGTACTTTGAGAAATGCAAGTCACTGTTCTAGCAGGCGTACGACCTGCTACATGAGAAAGCTGTTACAATCCGAACAGGAAGGGAGGCACATGTATTTGGCACAGCCCAAGAACTGGGTTTCGGGCATAGCACTAACAGAGTCAGGTCTTTCTGCTTTGGATTAAAAAAAAACCAAAAAAGTTCTGACAATAATAATTGTATTTTGTCAATTCGTTGCTCTGATGACACTTGCAAACCCAGTTACAATGCGACCATTATAGGAGCTGAAACACTTATAGGTAAGGTAACTTTGCACAAGGTGGTCTTTGGATTGCATGCCACACCTCTTCCTGCTTCCCCTCGCCTCCAAACACATTCCAAAAAAATGAAGTAGATTTGTCTTCTTCAAAAGGACTACTTTCAGCGACAGCGTCACCTCGGAGCATCACTGTAATTCTAGACAGGAACACCTCAGACCGGAGCCTGTGCCACAGCACGCTCAGAAACACCTTCTGACAGCAACGGGGATTCAAAGGAGCCTGAACAGATCAGGAAGCTGCATCCCCAAAGCACCACCTATTTAGCAAAATCGGAATGTATTGCTGTATTATATCACAAGTGTGTATTTTGTAAACAGCATGCATGAGATGCCTTTTAAAGAAACTGTTTTTTTAAAAACAAACCAACCTACCCATAAGGAACGGACAGTTTTTTCTGAGCATCAGGCACTTGAAGGTGTCTATCTGCAACAGACTATTGTTTCTGTAGTTAAAAATTAACTCCTTGCATGAAGTGCTGGCATAATACTGAGGAAACACGATTCAGCCACGCTTACACGAAGCATACATTTGTTTTAGCAATATGTATTTCAAAACCTAAAATAAAGATTTCTATGCTCAGCTGAATAAATTGCACACTTGTTCATAGTCACATAGCTTTACACAAGAATGCAAGATGATGGCATCCTGGCTTGGATCAGGAACAGTGTGGCCAGCAGGAGCAGGGAGGTGATTGTGCCCCTGCACTCGGCACTGGGGCGGCCGCACCTCGAGTACTGTGGTCAGTTTTGGGCCCCCCACTACAAGAAGGACATTGAGGTGCTGGAGCGTGTCCAGAGCAGGGCA